AACAAATTACAGACTGCTCTTCTGAGTGGTTGAAATAGGCTAATGATGAGTTAAAGATGCTGAACATTGCTGCTTTTAGGCAGAAATTGGCCTAAATTGAATGTAATGCAAAACGTACTCGTTTAGCAGGTCACAAAGATGTACTAGGCGCTACAACAGCGTAGACAAAGGAAGACACATGCTCATCTCTCTTCCTTAACACCGATGTTTAGCGTCTTATAATTCCTGGGAAGGTGAGTAACCTTTATTTGAATTGCTGAGCTCAGCTAGTGATTCCGATGATCCTCTGCAAGAAACCCACTAGAGCTTGCATAATGAACCTTCCAAAGCATCTGCTGTTCGTGCTTAGTTGCTGTAAAACTAGGTGAACTTTCACGGATGATAATTTTATAAGTAGTCAGGTGGACTAGCAACAAATTTGCAGTGCCTGCGGCATTATTGGAATTAACAAAAGCACTTAAAATGCCGTTTTAGCCTCTTGCGAATAACCTTCTGAAAATAGAACAAATCTGCCTTAGGCGTCCAAAGTGGACTTACACATAAAACTTGATTAAGTCGAAATACAAGGTAGCCTTTCATTTTCAATTACTGCTGGTGTAAAAAGAGTTGTTTCGCATAAATTTTTACAACTATGTAACCCAATCTTATTCGTTTGAACTGTATGGCTTATTATGCGGCTTTTACAGTCTCCAGCTGTCGGGCTGTGGGGTGTGCTCAAGTAACTAGTCCGCAGGTCTTCCACCTCGATCCCAATTATGGCAGTTTTAGATCCATGCACCCTATAATATCAGCAGGAATGAAATTAGGCTCCACAGTCATAAAAAGTTACAGAAAAAAAACTTGGTTCTAAAATGCCACTTCAAAGAACTCCATCAAAACTTACACAAATTTTTATTCACTTAGAACCTCACCTGGTCAGCAAAGTATCCAACAATGGCCTGATTCTGACGTTCGACCCATTCCCTCACGAAAGGCTTTACACCACGAATTGCACTGCTACCTCCAACTGGAAAAGAGTCGTACTTCCAGTTCGTCACAACGAGAACTTCAGCCGGGGTTTGTTGTACCTGGTCAATTTGCGTTTGTTGCCTCGAGTCAAAGATGGAATCTCCTAAATAGTAACTACTGTGTTAGGAGGGACATTGCAAGGACCATGAAGGGCAGATTTGAAACCTGAATCAGAGACTATGTTCTCCTCTGTAGTAGGCACTAAAATTCACCACTAAATATAGAATTGTTGTTAAACGATAGCTACTGCTTGAAGATGAAAAAGTGGCGATGGTAGTAGTTCACTTGTAACATCTACAATATCATCCCTTAATTCCCCACTACCAGAATGTGCATTTGGGCAGAGATTGAAACAAAAGAGTAAAAATTTATCGCATCT